AAAAACTGGAAGGTGAACTTAGCACCTAAAACATCTCCAAAATGGGTGCTTTGTGAATAGGGGGTCACAATCCCCAAATGATTATTATTAATATAAGAGAGCAATAACTTAGAGGAAGCTGTGACAATATCACAATATGTTTACTTAATCTGGAGACTCAGGGTAGAATATAAACCCAGGGAACCTAGGGGTGGCTACACACATTTCTCTGATAATTGATGTTTTTACCTGAAAAACACATCATATATGCATTCCAAGGCCCAGATGTGAAACACTTAGCAAAGTATATAAAAAGTAACTGAGCCAATGTAATAGCAGATGGTTAAACAGAAAGGAGACACAGAACCCCCTGCTAAAAGTGACTTTTGTAATGCAGTGTCAACTGTATTTTTAAAAAGTTAACAATGCAGATAATATTTACTTAAAGATTGTTCAACAAATGTTTGTCCAACAAATATTTGAGCATCTGTAATGTGTGGCAACCACGTTAAGAAACTGAAAAGCACTAATCTCATTTCAACATTCCAAGAATCTGATGAAAGAGGAAATTGTCATTATTTACCGTATTTTGTACAAAGGAAGCCAAACAGAGGGTAATAATCCATCCAAGTTCACATAGCCAATTAGCGGTAGAATTAGAATTACAGCCAAGGGTTCTGATACCAAGACCACAAGCATTGGTTGCTAAATTAATCAAATATTCTCAGATAAAACCCAGCCTCTGCAATGAATTTTAAAGTCTCTAAACATAGTACAAAGATTAATTTTTAAATTTTATTTTTAAACAAAAAATAAATTGGGTTTATAAATTTCCTTTTGTAAACCTTCACAGTTCATTCTGGTTGTAATATAAACAGAAGGACCAATGTGTATTTTTCATTCTTTTTACAAAGAAATTATACTTAAGAAACAACAACCAGCCAATAATTATTAATTACTAGTTCTGCATTTCTGTGCCTATAAAGCACTAGTTTAGCCTTCAAATAGACAATATATATGTATTTATAATTTATAATCTAAAATAAGACCAGTGTATATGAAGGGCTTTGAAATTATGTTGAGAAAAACTGTCTATGATTCTGCCTAAGCAGTTTGTAAAGAGGAGTGATTAACAGCAGTCTTTATTATAGGATGGTGTTTCTCAAAGTGGGTCCCAAGGAAACTGGGGATTCCCAAAATCCTGCAGGAAGTCCCCAAGATCACCATTATTTCATGATCATGTTTTACCCTGTCCTCTCCTGAGTGCACAGATGCATTTTCCCACCATGTGCAGCTCCAGCAAGGGGTGATCCTTGGGTAAAACCACCGCTGCAAGGCCTGGAGCTGGAGGCTGGGCTCTCAGAGTCTATGATCATGGTCTCTGCATAACTCCTCAGGCAGCACTGTCCAACAGAAATAGCACCCACTGGGGTGCTCTCCCATGGAGTATGCTAGACAACTTGTTGGTCTGGGCCCCCATCCTTGCTCTTCAGATTCTGCAGGTCCAGAGTCAGTGCTGAGAATCACAGGGCTTAGAGCTGCCGACCCGCCGAATTCTCATCCCTGTCCAAATGACTGGGTTTAAGGGGGCACAGCCCAGTGTGACCTGCTCTAACCTTTTCAGCTTCCCGTGGCTTGTCTTGACACATTACCCTTCAAAAGCTCCCCACCTGGGCACAGCTGCTCTCAGATACATACTTGTGGAAAAGCTTTTGAAATATTTGGCATTTAAATTCCTTCCCAAAGCTCACACATGGGAAGGGGTAGTTGACATTGGACCATTTAAGGCTTGAGGTGATTCATGCAACTGCAGTTAGGCAGGTGAAAGCCTTGGAACCCAAGCGCACAGCAGGAGCTGCCTTCAAACCCGCTTCAGTCAGTAAAAAAGCTGAGTGTTTAAACAAAAATATATCTGTAATGGCTGAGAATATGCTGTGTGCCATATTCCAGAGCGTGCACGGCTCCCTGCGGAACTCTTTGAGGGGGCCGGAGAAGTCTTTGAGGGCCTGCTTTCCTAACAGAGCACTTGCCAGAATCCTGACGGAATTAGGAAGTCCCCCTCCAGCAGCCCTGCAGACGAGCCAGGCAGAGGGTTCATCCGAAAACCTAAGCAAATAAAAGTCAAGTGAGCAAAGTAGAACATTACATTTTGAGAACTGGCAAGTAGTAACATTCTGCAACCTGGAAGATATTTAACTAAGAGCAGAAATTCCACCACAAAACTGCAACACTGACAACTAAGTCCCTCAAAGATGGAGACTTTAGACCTGGAATAAAAGGTCTAACAAATTCTGGTTATTTAACTCAGGTTAGTAAGCCCTAAAATGATACAGGCCAAAATCTGGGAGAGAGAGACAGAGAGAGACAGAGAGAGAGAGAGACTACAGACAAGAGTGAGAGAATTTTATAGGGGGTATTTAACACCCCTTTAAATGAACTATAGTGACAGCATTTTCCTTATCTCTCCTTAGGTATTTAGCATTTCCATTGAGAGATCTTGCTTCCCTAAACTCCAGGCTTTCGTGAAGCTTTTAGCGTTGATGTGGTGACATTTTACGTGCTCTCTCTTATTTATCTTCTCTCAGATCTGGAATTCTCAATTGTTTCTAAACTAAGAACTTCACAAGGATTCCAAAGCCACTCAAGCCCTGTCCATTAAATTCACCCAAGTTTGTTCAACAGGAGACTGCAGGGTGCCGGCTATGTGTATACCATACCATGTGAGAGGTCCCGGGAGGGCAGGAAGCTGCATCTGACGGGGATTCTGTCCCAGGAGGATCTTAATGATGGTCTGGTTGAAGAAATAAACTCGTTATATTTATTCTGATGAAATAGAGGGGATGCTTGTTTCAAAAGAGCTAAATATAGATTTCCCGGGGGTGGGGTGTGAAGATGTCTAAACCAAGCTTTGAGGAATAGGTAGAATTTGAACATAGATATGAGAAGGCTACAAACCATTTGCCTGTGAGACACAATGAGTGTGCAAAGAAACACACCAAGTACTGCAGAGCCAGCCTGGGAGTCAGACACTCTATTCCTACAACAATCCTTCAACATGAGTGTTGGAACTTTTAAAATTTCAGTAAATATTTTTCAGAGAAATTTTTCTTCTTCCTCTCCCTGGATATTTAATTTCCTATTGTGAATCCCACTGCTTTGGAGGGCACAGCACCTTCACCCTTGTGCCTTTTGGGGTGAATTGTTGAAAAGAACCACCCTGAGAGATGTATCGTTGGTATATGAATAATGCTGGTGACGTCAGGACCTCAAGGAATCTGCCTCTGTTTAAGCAGTTTTGGAGAATTACAGAAACCATTCCAATGTAAATGTCATAACTTCAGGTTTCTCCCTGCTATCTGTTTACAATGGAATACTTTGAACTTCTCCACCAGAGAAGGGGAAAGAGAACACCTGAATTTTAAAAAAGAGAGGGACAGATCTTAAAAGGGGGGGAAGGCAGAGAAAATGAAACAGAATGAAGGGAGGAAGCTGTTGGAAATGAGGCAAGCATGAAAGGAGCCGGGGAAAGATGGAGAAGGGGAGATAGGGTTGGATGACAAGAGCCCTCATTCAAACAATGAAAACCTTCCACTGGTCTCTGGTGTTCAAAGTGCCAAAGAGGTTTCTAGGGAGATTTCTCCCTATGGCGGCACCCGTTATGGGGACTCTGAACCATCTGTCTAGGCCAGCCTTTGGCATTCCTGTCCTTGTGGGACAGAGGGAAGACAGACAGAATGCATGGGCTGGAGGAGGCCAAGCGTGCGAGAGGTGCCTGCAAGCATTGGAGGAAGCAGCCCGGCCGGCCTGAAGAGCCAGACACCTGTGTAAACTGCAGGAAGCTGTGAGGAGCCCAGCTGAGCTGATGGAGACGCCACATGCACACGGCTGGAGGAGTCAAAGTCACACGGGCACACACACACACACACACACACACACACACAATCAATCAAGGAAATGAATGGAGACAGACTGACCCAGACAAGGGCAGAGAAACACTGAGAAGGGAGAAGAAACTTTATGACACGGAAAAATATCCCCCCAAAAAGTATCTAAGAGAATGGAAAAAATTTCAAAATATCTTTATAGAAATTTATTTGCTCTGTCACAAAATTGTCAGTGACACCCTTCACCTGGCAAAGAGTACCAAGTTAATCAAATGAAATAATTTGTCAAGTATTCAAACAGATAGGAACTCACAGAGATAACCCTTATGAGCATTTTATAAAATACCTATACCCTGCCTGGGCCCTACCCAGCCTCCTGAATCAGAATTTCACTGTATAAGGACTCAATGTTGGGTAACGCTGAGCTGCACCTTGCTGGGGGGCTCCTGAGGTGTCAGCAGCAATTTACATTTCATCTGCAGGAATATAAAGCCCATCTTTGGGAGATGAACCTCTTTATCTTCTCTATGTCTTCTTAAAGGGAACCCTCCCAAAGCACACATAAACATGTAGAAGGAAAAGATCTGATAAAAGATCTTGAAATGTAATTCTCTATAACAGAATATACATTATAAAACCTTTAATTCCCAGGACTTCCATGAGTACTTTACTTTCATATCATTACTTCTCACTGCAGGATATTCATTCCCGTATTTTTGGTTCCCATGAGCACATGACAAGATAGAATTTCTCAGGGTATCCTCCCCGCTCTACTGAGGCCACAGAAGACTCTTTGAGGAGAGAAGAAGAAGGAAATTAAGAGCTGCTAAATATTCCTCCAGCATCTCCACACTTGCCACCTTTCACAATCTGATGGCTGTTAGATGTTTTAACATATTGGTTTGATTTTATTTTAGAAAGTGTTTTCCAAACTTGCATGTCCCTAGAACCAGTTTTCAAAACAGTGTCTACCAGTATCATGAAGCAGGAATGGACCAAAGATTTGCAAAATGATCATTGTAAAACCTGGCAACCCAAGTCTACCCAAAGTGTACTTGTTAACCTTCTGAATTCTCCATACTCAGTGCCTGACCTACCTCAGGTGAAGATCCCACTAACATTTTCTAACACATTTTTAAAAGGCCTTTGGGCCTTTACTCTTCCCTGTCTGGTAGGGAAAATGCTTCTGAGTGCTCTGCAGAAGTTTGATTGAAGCAGAGAAAGCTCTGGAGAGGAAGCCAGTAGTGGAACAGCATTGTCTCGGAAGGGTCTGTCCTCAGAGGGTGTGTATCCTGCTGACCACTTGGTTACAGTGGGATGTGGCATCTGGTCCCTGTGCCTCCACTTCACAGCTTCCTGATCACTCACTGGAGGTGGATCAGATTAGCTACTGGTGAATGCACTAGGTTGATTCATAACTGCACCATTCGCCAGCTCACACACATCTGTTCCACAAGCAATGCTAGCCTGATAGAAAGGCCTTCAGAGAGCCCCTGAAGGCAGGGTAAATCTGGTTTCAGCAAGGAACACAGGATGTGAGATAAAAGTCTCAAGAGGGAAATTGGGAAGATGGAAAGTAAGAAGAAAGGTAAGAATATACAAACTTTTATTTGTAGACCTAATGAGCCTGGGCAAAGAAAACTCCTGGAGTCATTCCTGAGGGGCATACATAATTGGGCCTGTAAAATGAGCAAATGAAATAATTTTTAAAAGTTGAGCTTTTTATCATGGAGGGTGACTTTTACACATGGTTTTGGAGCAAATGGTTGCTAGGAAATATGACAGAATGAGGAAACAGACTGTAAGTGATATTTGGGGTGTGTACAAGATAGGGTGGGGTGAGCGCAATGATCTAATGTAACTGAATGTAACTAAATACATTGCTTGCCCTTGGTCGCTTTGGTATTCATTTCAAATTTTTATTGTGAAATTTCCAAAGCACACCTTTCTAAACGTGGTTTTAGAATATGAAACCTGATACACATTCTTCTTCAAACCCAGCATCCATGCAGTGGATGGTGGTAATCAGGGAGAAAAATTCAACAAGAGGAGGAAAAATTCCCAGTGGGTGTTTTGATTTTGTTCATTAAGTCTTTCTTTCAAAAAAATAGTTACAGGTGTCAGGGTTTTTTTCTCTTGAATAAAAACATCAAGTAATCATCTAACAGGGACAAATTTATGTTCTGTGGCTTGCTATTCTTATTAGCCTTTTTGTTTGTTTGTTTTTCTGGTTTTTGTTTTCCCCAAAATCTCTCCCATCCCAACCCTGAATATTCAGCAGAGCATCAGAATAACAGTGAAAAGAATCATAACATAGCAACCAGCTGCTCCAGAAGCAAAGAAACGTAGCAGCCACTGTCACCACCAGTAGCACCTCAAGGTACAAGAGCAGAGGGGCTTTCCCAGGGATTTTACTTTGTGGAATGCACCCCAGGCAACAACCTGCACGGGGAGCCTCCTGTACAGCTCCATCTCAGGAGAGTCTCTGCTAAAGAGGGAAGAAATGCTTTTATTACTCTTGACTGGGGTGTAAAGAGGTCTGTGTTGACTCATCTTACACAGTCATGCAGCACATGGAGATGGCCTGGTCAGTGACAATGGCACAATAGATTGCATCACATAGGTATTGGAGTCATCTTAGCTGTTCAAGTACCCCTGTGATGGTCACTCAACAACAAATCACATAACGATACATTTCATGGAACACGTCCTTACAGTTAAGTGATGACTATATTTGCTTAGAGAATAGTATCAATTAAAAAACATCACAGAAAATTCTGTGCTGGGTAATTTGATTTTGTTAAAGCAAATATTCCCCTCTCCATTGGAAGTGTAATAGGCTGAAAAGAGGATAGTATCCCTCTATCCGTTTTGTTTGTGGTGTCCAGAAGCTAGATTCACACTCAGAGTGAGACAGGCTTCTGTGTGATTATCTTTAGAGATGGAATGGCCCAGTCCCAGTTCCATAACTCTAGGTCACTTGCCAGAACACTGAAACCTTCGAAAGTGGTCAGGAGGGTTTTCAAGAAGGTATTTCTTCAGCGAGCTACTGCTGTGCTTCTGGTGTTCCTGCTCCAAAGGGAGAGAAGTGAGAAGCACTGCTCCCACAGCATCCCTGTGAGGATGGACTTCCGTGACGTCACTCAGAGAGACTCCCATACAGTCCTCATCTGGACAGACACAGAAGACTTAACAAGTAACACACAGTAATGGTGCTAAAACACCCTGCTGCAATGGGGTGGAAATAGTTTATAGTTCCAGAGGAGTCTTTGGGGGTGGGAGTGTGGAGGTTTCTCATGCACCCGGGAAAGAACAAGTCTGACAGCAAGCTAGCAAATGTTGTTTAAAGTTTTGTAAAATAAAAGCGTCCAGAAGTATATAGATGGACTGAGCATCAAGAAGCCAAAAGAAGGCACAGAAGTCTTAGAAACTGCAGAAATAGTTGCAAATAGCTATCACAAAAGCAATGCACATGGTGCCCACTGATAGAACAGTCTGAAGATTTAGCAGAAAGGAATCAGCTTCAAATAAAGTGGTCAAGTGACGATATTTTAAGAGTAAAAATGAATGCTACTATTAATTACTTTTGCACAATAAGTATAAACCAGCATTGCTTCAGGGAAACTGGAAAGGATTCTCCTGTTTCTCTCAAGCAGTGTTGTCACGAAATATGTAAGAGTCTGTCATTTCAGTTTTTTTGTTTGGAACCGTCGCGGCTTCCGGGTACACTGGAGCAGCTCAGCGGGTCCAGGGCGCCGGCATCAGCTGCCCCATTCCTGGCTGTGTTTAGTGGACTGTGGAGTTCTAAGCAAGCAGGCGGGCACCACCGGTTCCAGGGGCCCGGCGGCCTGGCATAAGTGCCCCGCACACTTTCCCTCGAGTCCAGCTAGTTTGGGACCCTCTTGGCCCTGGCCAGGGAACCTCACAGCTTTGAGGTGCACTGGAGCAGCACCGCAGGTCCAGGGAGCAGGCATCAGCCTCCCCTCTCCCTCTCCCGACTGTGCTCGGCAGACTGTGGCGTGCTAAGCAAGCAGGCAGGCGCCATCAGTTCCAGAGGCTGGGCTTGTGCCAGCCTGCTCCACTCCCAGTGACCCTCTATCAATCCAGGGAACTAGGTGCCAGAGTCCCAGGAGCTGAGGCATAGAAGAGGATTTCCAACAGATCCCGAGGAAGCCTTAGAATAACACTCGAAACACTTGAAACACAGAAATATAGGAAAATGACAAAACGAAGGACCAAATTACAATGTCAAACCTCCAGACAATCCAAAGAAACCTTAGGAGCGTTGTACATAGAAGAAAATATATGCCATACACCTCAAATATTGCACATAATAGCAACTGAAATAAGCAATCCCAGGAAGCTTTAAAGGAATTCAAACTAGAAATAATCTCCCAGGTAAAAGAAGAAATGATAAAAGAAATGAAAGAGATGCTTAATATATCTAAAGAAGACACAATTAAAAATTGGAGGAACTAAACAAAAAGATAGAATCCCTAGATGAGCAATATAAGCAACAAACAGAATACATAAAGCAGATGCACAGAGATATAGAGGAAATCAAATACTCCACTGAAAGCTGTAAAAACCGCCTCAATGAAAGTGAAGATAGAATTTCAGACCTTGAAGACAAGATTGCAGCTAGTGAGCAAGAAAGGAAAGATCTTTTAAAAATAACAAGGAATTAGGAAATACCAATTCAACAACTGCAAGATGATGCAAAAAAAAAAAAACCATAAGATTAATAGGGATTAATGAAAAAGAAGGGGACAACATAAAGGATGTCAACAGGATATTTAGAGAAGTAATAGCTGAAAATTTCCCAAACATGAGATCGGAAACCGACATCAGGAGCAGTGAAGCATATAGAACTCCAAACAGTCATAACCAAAATAAAACTACACCCAGACATATAATAATCACCATCCCAGAAATCCAACATAGGAATAGAATATTAAAAGCTGTCAGAGAGAAAAGACAGATCACTTATAAAGGAAAACCTATCAGAATCACAGCAGACTTCTCAGCACAAACAATAAAGTCAAAAAGAGCATGGAGTGAGTTATTCTAGATCCTAAAGGAAAATGATTTCCAACCTAGACTGATGTACCCTGAAAAACTGTCCTTCAAAATTGATGGTGAAATAAGATACTTCCATGACAAAGAACAGCTGAAGAACTTCATGATCACCAAGCCAACCCTGCAAAAAATATTGAAAGACAGTTTAGATACACTTAGGAAAAAACCACTAAGAAAAGCAGACAATTAAAAAGAACAGAAAGATAAAGATGCAACAGCAGAAAGACAACATGTCAACAGTAAACCAACACATAACATTTATAACCATTAATGTAAATGGTCTCAATGCACCAATTAAAAGAAACAGACTGACAGAATGGATCAAGAAACAAAATCCAACCATGTGCTGTCTACAAGAAACCCATCTAACCCAAAAGGATACTCACAGACTGAAAGTCAAAGAATGGAAAACAATACTTCATGCAACAGAAAACCCCCCCCCCAAAAAAAAAGCAGGAGTGGTCATTCTGTTTGCAGATAATGTGAACTTTAATAATGATCAGAAGAGATAAAGAAGGTCACTACATACTTGTTAGAGGAGAACTTCAAGAGGAAGAGATAACTATCTTAAATATATATGCACCAAATTCCAGAGCACCCAGTTATATAAAACAAGTATTAACAGAAATGAAAAATCAAATTATCAGTAACATAATTGTAACAGGAGACCTTAACACACCATTGACACCAAGGAACAGATCAACCAGACAGAAAATCAGCAAAGAAATAACAGAACTAAATCACACATGTGAACAAATGGACTTGATAGACATATACAGACTGTTCCATCCAACAACAGAATACACATTCTTCTCAGCAGTACATGGGTCATTCTCTAAAACAGACCATATGTTAGTTCACGGAACATATTTAAATAAATGCAAAAGAGTCGAAATTATCCCTTGCATGTTATTGGATCATAGTGCTTTGAAATTAGAAATTAATGATAAAAGATACTGCAAAAATCCCACAAACACATGGAAGCTGAATAACATACTCTTGAGTAATCAGTGGGTCACAGAAGAAATTAAACAATACCTACAAGCAAATGAAAATACAAATACAACTTACCGGAATCTGTGGGATGCAATGAAAGCCGTCCTCAGAGGAAAATTTATTGCACTGAGTTCCCACATCAGGAAAACAGAATGAATACAAATAAATAACCTGATTTTACACCTCCAACAGCTAGAAAAAGAAGAGCAAGTCAAGCCCAAAGCCAAAAGAAGAGAGGAAATTATAAAAATCAGAGCAGAAATCAATGCCATAGAGATTAAGAAAACAATCCAAAAAATTAATGAATCAAAGACTTAGTTCTTTGAAAGAATAAATAAAATTGATAAGCCCCTAGCCAACCTTATTAAAGAATCTGTCATTTCCCTTTCAGCTAGTTAATGTAGGGATAAGAAATCTTACATGGAACCAAGGAAATATAAAGAGGAAAAAGAAGGAAACTACACTGTCCATTCCCAAGAGTTATTTCATATTGAAGCTGAAGAGATTTTTAAG